TGGATGTATGAAAATCAACGGCTGAAATGTGGTGTAAAACTTATTCATCTTACATCAGTATAAACTATGGGTTTTATAAGAGTTATGTTGTAGGAAAATTGATTGTGTTATGTTATAGAGATTCGTTTTGCGTGTCGAAGTTTTTTATTTATTTTTTGCTTCGGGCCCCACAAAATGTTGTGTGTGTAGGAAACTTTTTGTGGTCATGTTAAATGATAGATGATAAACCCATAAACTATATATATATATATATATAGAGGTAGGATTTTTTGATATTGATGTCAAAATTTAAATTTGACACCTCATCTAAAAGTCGTTAGATCAAAAAAAATCAATGGTGTCACATGTTTACAAATCAGAGTCGTTGATCTTTTTTGATCTAACAGCTCTCAAATGAGGTGTCAAATTTAAAATTTGACACTGGTATCCTGCCTTATATATATATATATATATATATATATATATTAACCATAGTGATTATCCTGATAAGAAAGAGAAGATGGGTTCTCTTATTGTCTTTGTGTTCAAATAATACAATTTCAGATTTTTATTTATACTTATCTACTTAAAAAAAGAAACCATCTAGACTACTGATAAAAGAAAACGCTAAAAATTTACAGACTGTGAACGTACGTAAGGTGATGATAAAAATCTGATAGAATAAAGAAAAAAATAATAAATAAATAAAATAAATAAGTCTCATTAAGCCGTGTGAACTTAATTAGTAACAGTACTACGCTACCTCTAGATGACGTGACAAATAATGAACAAGTGGTACCTGGTAAAAAAAAAACATAAGATAACAATGATAAAAAACCAAATAAATCATAAAAATACCTCCTTCCAACGTAAACTCCTAAGTTGTGTTGAGATATATAGTTTCACATTAGTTGTATGAGCAACTAATGTGGAGTTTATAAGGTCTTGGACATTGGGCTTGTGTATAATCCACTCTTCAATTGTAATGAGCTCTTGTGTAAGGGGGCTTGTTGAGATATATAGTCTCACATCAATTGTAGAAGTGATGTATTCCAAGATTCTTTACATGGTATCAGAGTCTCGTGTCCCGGATTTGATTCTCGTCGCCTTCACTTTAAGGTGGAATTAAAAGAAAAAACACAAAAAGGTAAACAAGAAATTAGGCCTATGTATAATCCACTCTTCAAGTGTAATGAGCTCTTGTGTAAGAGGGTTTGTTGAGATATATAGTCTCACATTAATTGTATGAGCAACTAATGTGACCTTTATAAGGCCTTGATCACTTCCACCCTTAAAGCTAACTTTTGAAGTGACGTATACAAACTTATTTACAAGTTGTAAGTTCTTTTTTTTTTTTTTTGATTACTTGGAGATGGAGGTATGCCAATGGATGTGTACGACACAATGATGATGAGATTTTGTGCAGATGACAGTGTGGCAAGAAATGGGAGTTATCAGGGGGATAGATCGTAGGCAATGACTAGTAAATGGTGGCCGATGGAGCTTATAGTGGCGTAGCTTTCCGACGACACAGATTGGCGGTGTGAGGGAGACGACAGCTTAGGTGCAGCAGATGTCTTCTAGTAGTATGGGTTTTTGGAGTCTCTCATGTGATGCCTGTTGTTTAGAAGACAGTAGGTGATAATTAAAATCACAAATCTGTACCAAAAAAAAAAATCAAACATTACACCGGAAAGAATGGAAGAATGCATGCACGGATGAAGGAAAAATCAGAGTAACAGTGCAATTTTCTGAGATAGACACTGACCAGAGCAAAAATTGGATTATTTCAGAAATACGAACAGAACCGATCCGAGCCAATCAGTGCTTGTGGTGGATCAAAGGCCACGTAATTCTTCTCCCCTCCATATAATGTGTAGTGTCCTAAGGGACAATTTTGTAGTGTGAGGTGGGATTTATATACTCTCTCGTCTCTTATTAGTTGTCTCACATGGTGAGAGTTTATATATCCTCTCACCTCGTACTAATTGGTCTACGTGAGACTTCTTATAACTCACACACACTTTTAACTCACACACACTTTTAACTTCGCTCTTTTCTTTTCTTCCTCAACCCACTTCTTATTTATAATCACAGGATGTAGATACATATTCCAACAATGCCTCTCCTAACTTTCTTCTATAAACTTTCCTTTTGTTTTCTAACTTACTGAAGCCCCCTAGTGTTTCTCCTTCCTATTTTTTTTCTTTCAATACTTTTCAGTATAATGGACTATAAATTTTTAGTCCAATCTCACCTTTTCCTCTGCATGCTCTCTCCTTTCTTTCTTTATTTTTCTCCTCGAACACGAGAATGCCTCCCTCCGTTTTAAACACCGAAGACCTCTTATATAAAAAATGACTTCCTTCACCCCCCCCCCCCCCCCCCCCCCCGCTTTTTTTGCTAGCAGCACTCTTGCTTTTTGTATTTTTATATGCCATGCTTATAAACTTTGTGTTGAACCCTTTATCTTTTTCTCCTACTTTCTTGTCATGGCTTATTTCGGTTAAACCCCAAATCAACTATGATTTTTTTGCTCCTTGCGTAACAACTCTGATTCTTTTGCTCTATGTGTACAGGTAAGGCATTTGTCTCCTCCAAGAGAGGCATCGATCAAGAGAATTTGTAGCAATCTTTATTGGACATGTCTTTTTCAATTTTCTGAAATTTCCCTTTCTGTGTTTATTGCTTTTTTCTATTTGGATTAGGACCAAAATTGATGCTATCTTAACCTTCCATGGCAAGTTAACTAAACCAACATGTCCTTGCTTTAGTTAAGCTTACCCACCATTGCTATCCCAATGTTATTTGACACCTTCATTACTAAATTTACCTATGAATTTTGGTAATTTAATTTTGCTGTCCACGAAGAGCTAATGGTTATTATACATGGACCACAAAACTTTTAAACATCTAAGCTAACAACTTGAATTTTATCTGTCCTGTGTTCACTATTTTTGAAATAAAAAAAATAAAAATGGTGTTAACAATTCACATGGGCCTAATCATAAGCTTTTGTTATCTTGACAACTAAGTTGATTATTTGTTTAGAAAGCCCATTTGTGAAGGACTAACCCACAGAACCAATGGATTGAGGGGCTTATCCATGGATCAACCAGTACATTACCTAAAATCAACCACTACTACCCTACACGTGCCAAATTGCCCTTGTAATTTAAAATAGTCATGTAGTTAATTCTCAAATTTTAAATTATGATTAGCTATGTAGCACCGATACGACACGCGACACGTGACACGACACGACACGACACTCCGACACGTCAATCCTAAAAAATTATGGATTTCGACACGTTGTGACACGTTTTAATATTAAATAATATTTTTAATTTATATAGTGTATATTTCATTTAATATTTAATAATTTAAAAAAAACGAAACTAAATTAATAATACCCATCAACACGTTATAAAGATGGAAGCTTTAATAAAAAAAATAAGAACTGGGATGAGAGAGAGATATAATATCAGATAGAGCAATAAAATCATATTAGAGAGAGATCAGAGAGAAGAAGATACAACAAGAGCGTGATAGGAATCGACAACAATGCTGCTGAAATGATCTCTTATCTACTTAAGGGAAAAAAAGACAAAAAGATAAAATTGATATGATCAGGTGGAAGCTTTATTAATATATTTTAACTTTTAAAAAAATAATTTTTTTTAAAAAAAAAATTAAAATTTTTTTACGAAAATGTCATTTGACCGTGTCGGACAGGGTCAAATTCGCGTGTCGGAATGGTCAACATGTCAGAAAAAGTCAACCGCGTGTCCGACACCGTGTCGGAGCGTGTCGCCGTGTCGGACCCGACTCTTTCTGTTTTTACAAGTGTCCGTGCTTCCTTCATGATTACTATTATTATTGGGTGTATATTAAAAAAGAAAGAAAAATATCCTACAATAAAGAAACATGATAGAGATCGACGCGTAAATTATAATTTTAACCATGATTTTATGAAACAACATAAAGCCGGAACAAACCCAAAATTGCACCCATTGGGCGGTTTACACAAAACAAAAGTCGTGTAGCTTGAAATAACTTAGAAAAGTTAGTAATTTCATCTAAAAAATGGAAAAAAAAGATTAGTCGTTTCTTTTCTCTTTATATGGTTCATGAATTTTTAAATTTTGATTTTTTTTTTTGGCTGAAGAGGTCTTTCATTTCATTCTTGTTCCTTAAAAACAAAGATCATTTCTCCATCCTAAATCCTCATAAATAAAAGAAGAAAAAAAAAACAATTTTTTTATAACCTTAATAGAACATCAATACCTTTCTATCTTTAACAAATGTTCCCCTTTCTCCATTCTTTTTTGCTTGTTTTTCTAGCATTAGCAGGCACTATTACTGGCTGAAAAAACTCCATAACCGTTCTCATATAACTAAAGTTTTGTTGAATCAGTACGGATCAAAGTAAATAGATTGTGCTGTGTTTCAGGAGATTGAAATTTACTGAAATACTAAGCTGATTCCAGCTTATAATCTAGGTGAACCAGTATAGTTTTGGTAATGGCAGTTGTCTTCTACATACCTAACTTTTCAGTTAGAAATCTCATTTATTGAATGTTTTGATATTAAGGTTATAATGTTTAATTCAATATTATGTTCCATATTCTATTCCTTTTTAATGCATTTTAACTAGAGGCATGAATGTAAGAAGCAGGTTACGAGTTCAAAGAAATAGTCACATCTCCTACAACAATTAATTCCAGCATATTTGGTTACTTTGCCAATATAAAATGGGAATGATATGGAGATCATAAGGTACGTAGAATGTACAATAACATCATTGTCTTAATTTAAATACACATAATATGCATACATGAAGCCTGGATTTAAATAGATAGGGAAAAACAAAAAGACAAACTTCTACTTAGAAAAACATTCAGAAAAAAGACAAGAACATAGAAACTAGAAAGGATATAAAACATGCACTGCATTAATCGGTGGCAATTGTAGTGCATGAGGGGCACCTTTACTTTCTGCAGTTTGTGGTTGTAATGCAGTTAGCCACCATCAATCCCACCAGAAGGAAAGAAACTTTTGATTAGATCAAGCTCCCTAGTGACATCAACCATACTCATTCTTGTTTTCGGTGATTCCATTGAACAAGCTAGTCCAATCCTAAAAAGTGAAATTAAGCACTTTTCAACATTTTTATTTAGATTCCCATTTTTTTCTTCTTCTATTGCTGCTTCATTATCCACTGATACAAGAGATGGGTCCAAAATCTGTAACAGATTCTCAGGAAATGAAATTTCAACAAAGTTATGAAGATTTTGACCACCCTCAAATATTTCATCTGTGGGCCTTCTTCCAGTAAGCATTTCCAACATAAGAACCCCAAAGCTATAGATGTCACCATATGTAGACACTTCAGAACCCATTCCATACTCTAAAAGATATAACAAAATTGTCAGTACAAGTATCAAGTTGACACCAAAAGATAAAAGTATTCAACGAAACATTGAAAGATTCAAGAGTTCAAAGCCTACCTGGAGGAGCATAGCCAATAGTCCCAATTAGCCCAGTTGTGCTAGTTTGCTTAAGAGAGGTGCCACTAATGGTTGAGACAAGTCTTGCTATGCCAAAATCACTCACATGAGCAATCATGTCATCATCAAGAAGGATATTGCTTGGCTTTAAATCACAATGAATGATAGGTTTCTCACACTCATGATGAAGATAGTGTAAAGCAAAAGCAACATCAATAATGATATGTAATCTTTGACCAAGGTCCAATGTTCTTGGAGGCTTCACATTTACTGTACTTGGATGCAGCCATTGTTCTAAGCTTCCATTTTCCATGTACTCAAAAACTAGAGCTTTAAATTCTTGACCATTGTAATCAGCACTCGAACAACATGTTAAAATCCTAACAAGATTTCGATGTCTAATATTTTTGAGTGCATTACATTCAGCAATAAAACTCTTGTGAGCTCCCTTCTTTTGAAGATTTAGGACCTTTATGGCAACAAATTTATCTTCTGATGCAAGAGTTCCTTTGTACACAGAACCAAAACTTCCTGATCCAATCAAGTTTCTAGTTGAGAACCCATCGGTTCCATAGTGTAGGTTTTCGTATGAAACCTTCACCAATTGGTCATTTGTTGATGAATAAGAAGGTGATTCCTCGTTTCTTTTCCTCGACCAGTAGGTAGTAAGAATAAATAGAAGTATGAGAAGAAAAGCAACCACACTAACTATCACAGCTATCAATATGAAATTATGGTGATTTGCATGTTTCTCACCTTTGACAAGGCATGGTAGTAGATGCAGCTCAGAAATACCTCCACAAAGCTTATCATTTCCAGTGACTGCTAACGCACTTGCATTTCGAAAGACACCTCCAGTTGGTACCTCGCCATCCAACATGTTAAAAGACACATTCAGGTACTCCAAGAAAGAAATATTTTGCAGATCTTTAGGAATTGATCCAGACAAGCTGTTTCGTGATAAGTCTAAACGTTGAAGACCTTTTAATGAAGACAAAGAGGATGGTATGATTCCATCGAAGGAATTCCCTTGCAAATAAAGGTACTCCAAGCTTATGCATTCTCCAATGGCTCCAGGAATATTCCCAGACAAATGGTTCTCAGAGACATTCAACATATCAATATTTGTTAGCCTTCCCACTTCTTCTGGTATATTACCACTCAATGAGTTTTGTGATAGGTCCAATAAGTTTGTTAAAGAGAAAAGACTAAATACCTCTGAGGGTATGGTTCCTCTAAGGTTGTTTTGAGAAAGGTCTAAGTATTCTAACTTTTGGCAGTTTCCTATGCTTGGAGGAATATTTCCTTCTAACGTATTCTGTCCTAAACCCAAATGATACAACTGACTTAGGTTGCCTATGAAGGCTGGTATATCTCCTGACAGCTTGTTCCCAATCAATTCTAACACTTGCAAATTTTGAAACTTCCCAAAAGTAGTTGGAATCACCCCTTCAACTCTGTTATTTTCCATGGTCAAAAGTATTAAGCTAATTAGATTTCCTAATGTCACCGGAATTTGTCCTGATATATGATTGCTCCCAAGATATAGGTAATTGAGTTGGGTGGAAAAATTTCCCAAGGAATCTGGTAAATGACCTCCAAAATTATTGGTGGATATATCAACCACATTCAACTTACTACAATTTGTCAATGATTTTAAAAACTCCAAATCTTCTGTTGAGTTTCCTCCTAGATTGTTATGAGACAGATCTAGGAGCCGAATATCTCTTAGCTTCCCTAGACTTGGAACTTGTCCTACCATATAGTTTTCAGTGATATCAAATGCTTGAAGGGTAGTTGCATTTGTGATGGAAGTTGGGATTTTCCCTGTGATTTGATTCCCACCAATGAAAAATGTTTGGAGATTAGGGAGTGTGAGGAACATTTCTGGTGGAAGAGAACCATTAAATTGGTTCGTATCAACAGAGAATAAAGTGAGAGATGACATATTGTAAAGACAAGAAAGAAGTTTACCAGATAGTTTATTGATCCCCACTGATATTGTTGCTAAGTTTTTCAAGCTGCATATTTCTTGTGGAATATTTCCCTCCAAGCTATTAGAAAACACATTAAGATCAGTAAGGGATGAAAGATTCCCTATGGATGGTGGGATTTGTCCTGTTAAATTGTTTTGAGTAATGAATACTTGTTGGAGCTTCCCAAGAGAGCCAATTTCAATTGGTATGTTGCCAATCAGATTGTTCCCTGACAAGTGTAAGCCTTGAAGATTAGAGCAACTTGTCAAGTTTGTAGGTATTTCCCCAACCAATGAGTTATTGCTGAGATAGAGTTGTTGCAGTTGTAACAACCGACCCAATTCTTGTGGAATTTTTCCATAGAAGCTGTTGTTCTTGAGGTTGAGGTTTATAAGAAAAGAGAGATTGCCAACTTGTGGAGATATGAACCCATGTAAGTGATATCCTTGTAGGTTCAACTCTGTAACTCTTTGATGCATGGGGCTGCATGTGATTCCATACCAGTTGCAAAAGTGGGCAGAACTATTCCAAGAACCTAAGATTCCACGTGGGTCACTGGATATTGATTCCTTGAATTTGAGCAATGCCATGTGATCACTCTCATTTCCTGCAGATGCAGAGGCACTTGTGTTTGTGGTAAACCATAGTGAGTTCAAAGTAAAGAGAAGAAGTAGGTGAAGGCATATAGACCAAATTGTAGGTAATACGAGAGAAAAAGGATCCATTTGGTGTGTTTTCTTCTGCTAATTGGGTGTAAATACAGAAGTACTTTTCTTCCTTCTGCTACTCTATGGACTTATAATCTGTAGGCAACATTATGAAAGCATTGTGTGACGTCTTCAATTTGAATTTTTATTGATATTACTTTAAAAAATAAAATAAAAAATCCTTAAATGTTAAGTCAATTGATGTGTTTCGTTTCCTACGTCAACAGATTCTTATGTTTCGTCCAAACCACGCTAAGTCTATGATCAAGATAAAAATAGTATTTTCTTTACGTCTGTAGTAGGTACATCTGTCATTTAATAAGTGATACTTGAATAAAAAATATATTTTTTTCTTCTTTCCATAAAGCATGACAGTCATTCCTTATTTTCTATTAGATAAATGCACTGAATGAATGATACAACAGCAGTGCCATAGATATTTTCCCAAGGTAAAAGTTGTGCATTGACTAATGAAAGCCATTGACTGATTGATCATCTATAAAAAATTTCATTTTTCATTTTTCATTTTTTAATTGTTGATGCCGATGGACATTTTGCCTTTTGTTTTCTTTATCTGTTCGCGTATGTTTGTCTTTATTTCTAAACATCTTTCTCAACTTTTTTATCGTCAAATGCAGGCAAAATCAGGAATTTATATGAGGGGGGCAGGCGGACTAATGTAAGCGATTGATTGCTTGATCATCTATAAAAAATTTCATTTTCCATTTTTTAATTGTCAATGCCGATGGACATTTTGCCTTTTGTTTTCTTTATCTGTTCGCTTATGTTTGTCTTTATTGGTTTGGATGAAAGTTAATTTTAACCGGTCAAAAAATTGAGTGAGGTTGGGTTGCAAGAAATAAGATGTCAACCCGACTCGAGCCAGCTTAGAAAAAAAAAAAAGTTAATTTGCGGGTCAAACTGGTCAGCTCTCGTGGGTTGAGTTTTTTATTTCTTTAATAAAAAAGCATAAAATATAATATACAAAAATGGATAAAATTCACACACGCTGTCATCGTCTTTCTTCCTTCTCTAAACCTAAGTCCTTAATCTTCTCACATCGCTGCCATTTTTTATCTTGTTAGGCTGTGTTGGATATGTTTGGTCAAATATCTTACTCACTTAGTAGCAAGTGATTCTGATTGTTTCTCGATGTTGGTGCAAATTTGTTGTAAAGAAAATTCGAAACTAGAGTATTTTACTTTTACTTTTCATTCTGTAACTTTCTATTTTGCTTTTTTATAAACTATTTTGTGAGACAATTGTATTGTTTAAGATTATGGAAGTCGAATAGCTGGTGCATTAATATTACCGGTTCATTTAAATAGGCTGACAACGAGCCAACCCGCGAGCCATTTTTGAGCTAACCCGCTAGTCAATTTTTGAACCAACCCGCGAGTCATTTTTTCAAGCCAACCCACAAGCCATATTTTTTAGTCAACCCGCGAGCCAACCCTAACTCGGGTCGGGTTGGGTTTTCTGACTCTTTTTTTTTTTTGAGTCAATCCTAACCTGACCCATTTTTTTGGGTTGCATGCGGGTTGACCCGTTTTGTCAACCTTATCCCAAACATCTTTTTCAACTTTTTGATCTTCAAATGCAGTGGCAAAATCAGGAATTTATATAAGGGGAGCAGACGGACTCAGAAAATATTATTTATGTCCTCACATTTAATTTTTTTTTTTTAAGTTTTAAATGTATTAAGAAACAAAAGATGTTATAGTAAATATATATACTCTGTAAATTTCTTTCGACTATGCAACCGCTCTCCCAAACTCTCATTTGGCATGTATTCATACATGCAACAAGTTTAAGTCCTCTCTGCCTCTGCTTCTCCAAGATATTATAGCGAACATATATACTCTGTAAACATATAATAAATTTTTTATTATATGCGTAGAAAACAACATATTTATATATAATATGTTTTTCCTAGGAAACATTATAAGTAGCTATTATATTTATCTAAGTTTCATCCTAATTAATTACCTTAAAATAGACGGTCAATATACGAAGCTCGAACCACGTTTGAATTTGGCTTTCATTCTACAGACAAGTTTTATTATATTGCTTCCATTCAATATATTTTGTTTGATTGAAAAGTGAAAGATATAAGACAAGAATCAAAATGAAGAATGAGAGTTGGCTCATAGAGTATGAAACAATGTCTTATCAGTTTCCCTATACAGCCCCCACCAACACCATCGTCCTTAATAAATGAGGCCCCACACATAGCCCATTTCTTAATCTGCAACTGCAGATAACTTATGATATGTATCAATTTAAGAGCATCCCAGCCCCACACTCTTTTTAATTAAAATTGTTAACTTCTTGCATTTGTCTTTATGTAGTTTTCCATTGTTTTACTCAATTTTTTTAAGGGTTTTATTAATCTCCTTCCACATAAGATAGTTATCTTATGTGGTAGAGAGAAAATGGGTGGGTCCCACCATTACAAGAAAAAAAAAAGGTGGGGTGCGAAAATCGAAGTGAGAGAAAATGAGATAAGTTACCTCATGTAAAAGGAGAGTAATATTTCCCTTTTTTTAATCATAAAATGGATAACATGCGCTCTACATATTATTCTCTCTCTTTTCCCCCCTTTTAATCGAATTTTCCTTCTTTTTTAAATGTGTATTTAGGCGTTCAATTTGTAAGGTTGGTTGAGTAATTCGACAATTCCTCCACGCCCAATTAAAAGTGGGCAATTTTTTATTATTATTATTTGAATAAAAAATTATGAAAATATAATTATTTAAACTAATTTACGAATTTATTGCAATCATTAGTGTTCCTATTAGGCACGACTTGTGCAGGATCCACGTAGACACCACTTGTGTCAAGTCACGAACTTTTATGAGAAATGTTATAGTTACAAATTTTTTATTTACAAACTACATTAAGTATGACCGATCATACTTCAATCGAGAGTGTATGGCCAGTCATACTTTGTGTAATTTATAAAAAAAAATTATAAACGGATATACAACATGATAAGTACAAAACATAAGAATAACAATTACCTATTACTTACTTCGTTTGGAAAGTTAATTTAAGAATATCTTATTAGGGAAATAATTATCTCATGCGACAGAGAAAAAATAATGGAGTTCACTATTTTTTTCTTTTTTTGAAAAAGTAATGGACCCTACAATTTTATCTCTGTTGCAATTATCTCATGCAACATGAGATTAATAGATCTCATCCTATTATTGGTTTATGGGAAAAAAGTGTGTTATTTTAAATGACACATCTTATATCCTTTCACTCTCACAAAGAGGTAAGAGTAAGACTCACATTTTTAAAACTTTTTTTTCACTCTCTCTCCCATGATTTATCTCTTTCTCTCACTTAAAATGACACAACTTTATATCAATTAAAATGATACACATTTTTCCCTTTACTTATATACATATTACTACTCATTTGGTTCATTCTTATTCTTAAGCGAGTATATAAGAATCAAAACATAACAGTTACTGCATCCAAAAAAATAAAAAACAACAGCTACATTTATAAAATATAATAAAAAAGAATAGCACATGTTAATTAATAATTATTTTATGTATAAAAAAATTAATAAAAAAATTAATAATTATTTTATGTATAAAAAAATTAATAATTATTTTAAGTGTCTAGCACATGTTAAGAAATTGAAAGGAGTAACCTACTAAGAGGAAAAAAAGAAATTGAAAGGAGTAGGTGTGGGGAATAGCAAAAGTAACCATCCAATTAATACACTGACTCCTATTAAGACACCGACACCTTTTGCTTTTCCTATTTATTTACATGGTTAATCTAATCTCATGTTATATGAGAGAAGATCTCTTATATTATTGATAAATGTGTGGTGGGACCCACAATTTACAAAAAAGAAAAAGAAAAAAAGGATGTCACGATTTTCGATGGATCTATTGGAGATAAACTACTCTTATGTTGCATAAGAGTAATTTTTCTCTTATTTACACTCTAACTTTTTTCAGTTTTTTTTTGTGTTTCCCACATATTCACCCGTAACCAAGTAGGTTTTAGGAAAAAAAGTTGTTTGGTCGTGTCTAGATAGGGCGCGATCCTGCACCAGTTGCATTTGCATGTGACATGACATATCATTTCTATTTGGAGCGCGACTTGACACAAGTGGCGTCTGTGTGGAGCACAATTTGTGCGCTTAATAGAAATGCGACTGAGTACAATAAATTTATAAATTGCTTTAAAACAGTAATATTTTTGTAATTTTTTATTTAAGTAATAATATATTAATTTTTTTGCCATTAAAAGTGAATATAACACAAGATCAATTATTATAATGCTAATCTATTTATATATATTTATATGCTAAATCAAAATTGTTTTACTACACTTAGCTCAGTTGGCACTTGGCAACACATGTTGAGTAGGTATGGAAAGAATTTGTGTTTAGTTCCGGATGGCCCAATAACTTTGTGCCCCAAGGCCAGTGCCCAAAATCCTATCCACGTCAGCCCTATCAGCCTGTCACCACACAGAACCCCATATAATGATGCTCCCCAGGTGAGACACCAAAATGTCTCGTCTAGGGACCATAACCCCCAAAAGAGACCGCCCCAGATGCCATAAGAGGCAACTACCATTTGCCCCATGCTGGCAATCGCAAGGCGCAGGGGGTGCATCACTGCGATTGTAGCAGTCCCTGCCGCCCTCAGCAGCGCCTCCCACCCTAGACGGAACCCAAGAAAGGTTGACCTTCTCCTCATGAACCCCACCCAAAGTTCAACAGGACCTTCATCTATAAATACTCCTCTGGACATAGAGGAGAGATATCTTATGTATCGTTATTATGCCCATTTGTATTAAATCACACCATACACACACCCAACCTTCCATTGTTATTAACTTGCTCCATATTTGGAACAGTACTTTCTAGCCTGGTCATTACCTTCGCTAGTGGTACCATCCATATAGTGACATCATCCCCAAAGGGAACATAGTGGGCTTATAAATTCCAACGGTACATTGGCGCCGTCTGTGTGAAACTATAAACTTCTATTCCCATTCTCCTACCACAGATCTACAGGAGGCATTTCTCACTCTAATAACTAAACATGGTTGTCACAACAAGAAGAGCAGAGCAAACTCGAGCCGTTACCCCTGAAGGTCACGTACAAACAGTTCAACCTAGCTCCCCACCGTCCATGCATTCAGCCCCAGCTGAAGGAGTTGCCGGCGAGGCTCTTCCCTTGGTACTGCAGTCTGTTGGTCCACAGCACCCAGCAGCTGATCCTGCAATAGCCCAATTGAATCAACGTGTAGCCATACGGAAAATGCAAGGAGAAAACTTAATCCCAAATCAACCCCCACCGCCAGGAGTCTGTTTCGGAATGCCACTCCCCACTGCTTTCCCACAAATCATCCCACTAGCCCATTGCCCACAACCGGCCCGGAGCCAGCCGGTGGCTATGTACAACGATCACCGAGTCCCTGTGGTCGCCCCATATCCCCCTGGACCTTACACGCATAACATTGCCGTCCCTTACCCCCCACATTTTCCTACTGGCTTCCCATTCCACGGTTACGCAATACCTCCCCACAATGCAATCATCCCTCAGCCCCAAGGATCAGGTATGATCCCAGGCCTGCCACAATACGACGCTCAACAAGCCCCAGCCCTTTCTTACTCTATTGAGGCCCCCCAAGCACCTCACCGACCACCAGACCTACCCGTCCATAATCCAAACTTATGAGTGACACCTGCTCATACCTCAAGGCGCAACAAACCCTTGACTGATAGCCTACGCCTAGGGATGGCAAAAATGAGCCAACCCGTCGGGTTGGCTCGTAACCCGCACAAAACGAGCCGGGTTGGGTTGGCAAAAATGAGCTGCCAGCTCGATTTAGCCCAACCCGAGCCCAAACGAGCCAGCTCGCGGGTTGAACGAGCCAGCTCGCGGGTCACTCTTTTTTTTTTTTTTTTTTTTTTTTTTTAATACAATGGACTTTACTGATGGATTCTCCACTGATGGACTTCTTTTATTTTTTATTTTTTGGCTTTACATACGTTTTATGGTTATCGTGAGTTAGAGTAATTCAAAAAATCATGATAAATGACTCTTGTGATTCGTGGAGTGGTTTGTGTTTCATTTAATGTTTTTGGATTTTGTAAACTACTCTACTTGTAGTTGGACTGCAAAATACAATAATTTTATACAGGAAAACAAACCACAAAAATTAAATTTTTTGAGCCAACCCGCTAGCCAATATTTTGAGCTAACCAACCCGCGAGCCAACCCACTAGCATCATTTCGAGCTAACTCGCGAGCTTTTTTTGAGCCAACCCGCGAGCTTTTTTACGAGCCAACCCGCGAGCTGATTATCGAGCCAACCCGCGAGCCAACCCTAACCCGGCTCGGGTCGAGCCGGGTTGGATTTTCTGGCTCGTTTTTTTTTTCGAGCCAACCCGACCCGACCCATTTTTTTCGGGCTGAATGCGGGTTGGGCCGGGTCGAGCCGGGTTGGCCCGTTTTGCCAACCCTACCTACGCCTAACACCCATACCGCTTGGCTTCAAAAGGTCATCCAATATCACGACGTACGTGGGCGACACCGACCCTTTCGAGTGGATCCAGAAATTCGAAGCAGCTATGACCCTCCATGGCGAGACAGATCTCCTTATGTGCAGGACCTTCCCCACACTCCTCGGCGGGAGAGCACTGATGTGGTACACCACTCTACCAATTGGGAGCTTAGCATCCTGGGATGATTTGGCAAGCAAGTTCCAGACCCATTTCGCAACTAGCCGCCTGGTACCTAAATCTGTCCATTCCCTTGAAAAAATTCGCCAGCAGTCGGGGGAACCCCTCAGATCCTTTTTGGACCGCTTCGATAAAGAAGCACTTAAGGTGCAGGGTCTAGACCCTAAAGTGCAGGTGCATATACTCCTGTCAGGCCTGCGATAGGGGGAATTCGAATATGAGCTAGCTCGCCACGAAATTACCGACCAGGAGGAGGTGAAGAAAAAAGCTCAAGAATTCATGCGAATCGAGGAGTATAAGGGAAGTAGAGCAGATGATTCTCAGAGCAGCGAGAAGAAAGCTGGTAAAAAAGACTACGCTGATGAAGAAAAGAAGTGTCACAAACCCTCCAAGTATCCCAACCGCCCTTTGGGGCGAGATCAACCGAGACGCCAATCATACAACGTCCTACAAACTGAGTACAAAGAACGCAAGAATACCCCTCAACACCAACAGCCAGCCAGAGATGTTACAGTGTACTGCAAATTTCACCGTAGTAACGGCCACAACACCGAGGAGTGCAGATCTCTCAAGGAGGAGATTGATGAGCTAATCTAGGGAGGAGCCCAAAGGCAGCCGAGCAGTTCTGGGCGTGAAACCGGTTCGGGAAGGTGTCGCCGCGAACGCAGCAAGTCACCAGAAAGAAGAAGAACCGGTCAATTTGACTACAGGCCTCCTCACGAGCGGAGCCATAGAGAAAACTCCCCAAGAAACCGTAGGGTCCAGAACAGCCCAAACGGCTGTGAAGGATGAAAAGCGAGTGACGAAGACTCGGCAATAATCAAGCATAGAGTGATACACATGATTGCAGGCGGACTAAGTGGAGGAGGAGAAACAACAAACGCCAGAAAGAAGCATTTGAAACAGTGCTTGGCGGTGTCTGGTAAAACCATCAGCAAAACTAGAGTAAACTCGGGCCCAGCCAAACCCAAAATCGTTTGGGACAGCAACGATTTGGGAGACGTCCTACCTGGACATGATGACCCCTTAGTCATCCAAGCAATAATAGCTAATTTTGGGGTCAATCGAGTGTTCGTCGACCATGGCAGCTCGGTTAACATCTTATTTTTGCCTTGTCTCAGGGCGTTAGGGTTCACAGTCAACGACTTAACCCCCGTCGTTGGTGAACTGTTCGCTTTCAACGCAACAATCACCAAGCTTTTAGGCATGATAAATCTACGATTGTCAATGGGAATGCCACCCACCTCCAGGTCAGCTGACATCCAGTTCCTAGTGCTTGACACCCCCTCAACATACAACGCTATCCTGGGCAGGAAGATGTTTGCCACCTTCGAGGCGAGCGTATCTCACCCGCATCTGGCTATGAAATTCATAGCTAGTGACAATAAAGTCGCAACGGTGAAAGGAGACCAAACTGTCGCCAGGAGCTCGTTGAGATCGGCAAACAGGGTTACCTTCAAGGACCAACTGACGCCCCAACTGATAACAACCTAGGTAATTGAAGAAAACCCAAGCAGAAATAAAAAAGGAACTTGACCAATGTTTTCTTGTAGAGTTTGACGCAAGGGACGACCCCCGGGTGGAACATTCCAGGCCCGCGCCAGATGGAGCTTTAGAACATGTCAACTTGGGTGATGCAGATCACCAGACTACTACCATTGGGGCGATCATCGACCCAGAAATAAAAGGAAGGCTGGTTAAACTGCTACGAGATAATAGAGACTTGTTCGCCAGGAAACCGTCAGATATGCCAGGCATTGATCCTGAAGTTTGCTGCCACTGGTTGTCTGTGGATCCCAAAGCAAAGCCTGTAGCACAGAAAAAAAAAAAAGTTTGGCCTCGACCGCCAGAGGGTGATTGATGAAGAAGTAAAGCGGCTCCACGACACTGGCTTCATTAAAAAAGTCAAGTATACAACCTGGCTCTCCAAGCCCAGCAAGGCGTGGAGGATGTGCGTGGACTATACCGACCTGAACAAGGTGTTCCCGAAAGATGCTTATCCCTTTCCAAGCATTGATCAGTTGGTTGACAACGCATCCAGTTTCAAAATACTCTTATTCATGGACGCGTATTCCGGATACAATCAAATTCCATTACTTGAAGAAGACCAAAGCAAGACGGCATTCATCACCCAAAATGCTAATTACTGTTATACTGTGATGCCCTTCGGGTTGAAGAATGTCGGCGCCATTTACCAACGAATGATGAACGCCTGAGCAAACACCTGCTACACCTTCAGGGCGTGTTCGATAGGTTACAAAAGTATAACATGCGTCTCAACCCTAGCAAATACGCCTTTGGCGTACCGACTGGCAAATTTCTGGGTTTCATGCTGACCGAGAGATGCATTGAGGTCAACCCTGGTAAGTGTAAGGCGGTTATAGAAATGAGAAGCCCCCAGACAGTTAAGGAGGTTCAATAGTTGACCGGGAGACTAGTGGCCCTCACCCGATTCTTGGAAAATTCTGCACACAAATCTCTCCCTTTGTTTGGCCTACTCAAAAAAGGTATGTCCTTTCAATGGTCTGATGAATGCGAGAAAGCTTTTCAGGAGTTCAAGAGAGCCCTGTCCTGCCCGTTAGTCCTCACTAAGCCAGACAATGGAGAAACCTTGTACTTATATCTTGTCGTGGGCGCCGAGGTCATCAGTGCAGCATTGGTCAAAGAATCAAAAGAAGAAGGTCAGAAGCCAGTTTATTTCATCAGCAAGGTGTTACAAGGGGCTGAACTTCAGTATCAGCAAGTAGAAAAAGTTTCCCTCACACTCATCTTCGCCGCAGGAAGGTTAAGGTCGTATTTTCAATGTCACCCCATCACCGTCAGAACAAATCAACCTATCCGCCAAGAATGATGTCTTGGGCGATTGAACTGTCGGAGTACCAGATCAATTATGAGCCAAGAACCGCCATTAAGGCTCAAGCTCTCACAGATTTCATAGCCGAGATGACACACTCCTGTACTGCTGATAGCCAAATCGCAGAAACCCCACGGTTGGCAGTATGGAAGTTATATGTGGATGGTTCTACCAATGCCAAAGGATCCGGTGCCGGAATGATAATCGAAAATTCAAATGGTGTGGCGGTTGAGCACTTCTTATCTTTCAACTTTAGCACCACTAACAATCAAGTGGAATACGAGGCCATGATAGCAGGCCTACTTCAAGCCAAAGATTTAGGAGCCCAGCATCTTAAAGTCTTCAGTGATTCTCAGCTGGTGACATTCCAAATTTCTGGTGAATATCAAGCTAAAGGGCCTTTGATGTGCAAATACTTGGAGAAAGTCAAGGAGATAATGTTGACCTTTGAGGCGGTCGAAGTGGAGCACATCAGGCGATCGGAAAACACGCGCGCAGATATTCTCGCCAAGCTGGCAAGCACTAAAAGCCCTGGTAATAATCATTCTGTCATTCAGCATAACCTGCCTAACCCAGGCATCATCATGAGTATTATAGACAAAGCTGAAGGAGCCGCCGAAAACACCTGAATCACTCCCATTGCCAATTACCTATCAGAAGGTACCCTCCCCGAGGATTTGAAGGAGGCAAAGAAGATAGTGCGGAAAAGTGCTCACTTTTGCATGATGCATGGGCACCTTTATAAAAGAGGTTGCTCAACCCCACTCCTGAAGTGCTTGAACCCCGGCAACATAGGGTACATTCTTGAAGAAATCCACGAAGGAATCAACGGCCACCAATGGGCGGCCACTCGCTGGCAAAGAAAGCGCTTCGAGTAGGTTTTTATTGGCCGACCATGGAGCGTGACGCCTATGAGCATGTGAAGACATGCAAAAGATGCCAAAGGTTCGCCGACATTCATAAAGCTCCGCCAGAAGAACTGACGTTGATAACATCTCTGTGGCCTTTTTACAAATGGGGAATGGACATCCTAGGCCCTTTCCCTGTGGCGGCAGGACGAATCCAATGGTTGGTCGTCGCCATCGACTATTTCACCAAATGGGTGAAAGCCGAACCGGTTGCTACCATTACCTCTCAAAGAGTGAGGAAGTTCTTCTGGAGAAACGTCATTTACCGTTTTGGGATCCAGGAGAAGTTATAACGGACAACGGCACGCAATTTACTGACTCCAAGTTCCGGGAGCTGATGAAGGACCTCCACATTCGGCATCACTTTGCTGCAGCGGAGCACCCACAGTCCAACGGGATAGTAGAGTCAGCCAACAAGATGCTGGCTAAGGGAATTAAGAAGAGGCTAGAGTCTCATAAGAGGGGATGTTTGGAAAACCTAGACAATGTCCTTTGGGGTTATCGGACAACTGCCCAGTCTAGTACCGGAAAAACCCCCTTCAGGTTGACTTATGGTGCGGAGGCAATGATTCCTGTCGAGATCGGAGAGCCCTCCTGGAGGAAAGACCATGTGACGGAAGTAACCAATAGTCAGAACCTGAATGAGGCGTTAGATCTCCTGGATGAGAGATCTGCGAGCGAGACACAGAATCTAATCGCAAATCCAAGGAAAGGTCTGCCGCTCGGTACAACAAAAAAGTAATCTTAAGGAGATTTGAAGTAAAGGATTTAGTCCTTAGGCGAGCAGACGTTGGAAATAAGAACGCCAGTGATGGAAAGCTCGCGCCAAACTGGGAAGGGCCATATCGAATAGCCAACAAGCTAGGCGGAGGAGCTTATGCCTTGGAAACTCTCGAGGGGAAGTGTAACACCCCGTATATATCTGGTAATGTTATCATACTATCGTATTATGCTGCGCTTAATTAAAAATGAGGAATATCTTTTTCTTTTCAATTATGATGTCATTAATCATTACCAACTTGATTACTTAACCATTTTCAAAATATCGCCTGTATGTATATTGCAATAAACAGCTAACTGGAATACCTCAACAATTAAATAACATAAGTATGTCTCTAGTCACGGAACTGCCACACGTAGACCGAACCAACTGTAGTTTATACAACTCAACTTAAAAGTGAAAACAACATAGTGGCTAGGACAACTCCCATGCTCACCCAAATAAGGCAACAAAGCCCAACATAAGTCTCAACTCAATAATCATAAATGACAGAAAACATAAACAGCATCCAATTCAGTCATGCCAGCATAATATGAACAGAACTAAACATCAACTAAGCTCTGGCCTCCTACCGCCAGAGGCATCAGTCCCCATACTACCTGAACCTGAAATAAGCATTTCCAAATGTGGGGTGAGATCTCTAAACAAGAAATCTCAGTAAGGCGAGGGGTCCTCAAGGATCTTCCACCCCAAGCTCACTTACATGTGCAATATAAGTTCAAAAGCGGTTTATCATCATAAGTTCTAAAATAGTGCAATGCAGTAGATAATCATGTCATGTGTGTCAATTCTATTCTACTGGCCAGAGAAATACAGGATTTATATACGTCTAATACCCACAAATAGTGCAAGATGCTACTTGCATCCACCCCGGATCACCGTCTTGTATGACGCCACATACTCGGGCTTACCTTCAAGATGGAACAACACATGCATATTAAAAGCCATTACACATAAAGCTCAACAGCATTTCAAATATCCAAAGCATGTAACAGCATGCATATAACCATACCCCCATGGGACATGGTAGAACCACAACATGGCTAAACCGAGGACACGAAAGCTTACCTCTTAAGCAATCAATCCAAGTCAAGTCCACACAAGCTCAATGTCCAAACACAGCAGATCACAATCTGATTTAGAACCAACAAGCATATCAACATTCATAGCTCCATAGCACATAAAGACTACGTTTTCCTTTTACGTTTTACGTCTTAAGGCTTCCCACAAAGCCATAAGCCCTTAATCACTTGATTCTGACTTAGTTAAGTATTTACAGAAGTTCAACTCCATCAAAATAGGGTCCACAAACCCATAGCTCAATTCTGTATGAACAGTACTTTACTGTTCCTCGAAATCCCAGAATATCCAGATATATGTCGGGGGCTTATCCGGATATCAATATTCGGATACCATATCCGGATATGCATATCCGGATATCAAAGACCCCATATCCAGATATCAATATTCGGATACCATATCCGGATATCAATATCCGGATATTTATCGACCCAATATCCGAATATTTCGCGACAGAATGCAGTTTCTGTATTTCGCGAAAGATATCCACCAAAGGTCCAACTTTTACCAATTAAAAGCGTTCAAGACTCCATTTTTAGGTCTATACAGGTTCATACACATGTTAGCTACTTGCTTAACCCATTTACATGCAAAGACACCACCTTTAAATCATTTAAACTCATGATCAAGGTTAGACAACTCACCAAAGCTTCAAACTCAGAAATGGAAGGCTCTTGGAGCTCACCAAACAGCTCCAAACATACTGACTTGCAAGGAGCACGAAAATGCCACACCAAAGGTTGGTTCTTGCACCAAAAGATGACTCTTTGGCACCATAAATGCCAAGCCAAAGAACTATACCCTCTCTAAACTCAAAGTCAGCACCTATCCTCACCAAGGCAGTAGCAAGAACTCAGAAAACAACCCTTTTTTACTTCCCAAGGCTAGAATGCACTCCCCATAGAGTTTTCATGAAGAACCCAAGAGGAAATGAGGTCTCATGGTGTCTCAAATGGAAGGAGGAGGAGGTGGTAGGGTGGCTGGTGACACACCTTCAGCAAACTCACGTAGGAGAAATGTATGGCCTAAGGTTTTGGGCCATACTTTAGTATATATAGTCACTTAAACCATAAACGCATAGTATTAACTTTAATTGCTACGCTTAGCATTTTAATCCCAAACTCAGGATTCTTAACCTACTCAATTTTACAAGAATTATCATATTTTTCTCATATATTTCGGAGCACCTTTCCGGTACGCGCTTTTCATAGCCAGTACCAGTTTCTGGCACCAGTTCTCATTATTTTAACTTGAAACTCGTTTTACAAGTCCTACATATTATTCTAGTAATTATCATGTACTTATTATAATTTTCTGGGATACTTTTTCGGTACGCATTTATACCGACTAGCAGAACCGGTATCTGTACTTTTCGTCAGAAAAATGACTTTCAACATTATTACTCAATTACTATAATTATTAGAGCCTCATAATAATTATTAGGGTCAATTATGGAATTATCTCATTAAACTCATAATTAACCGATTAATTTCCTTAATTAACGGTGCAGGTTCTTACAGGAAGGCCATCCCAAGGGCATGGAACGCTGACAAGCTCAGGCAATATTATAGCTAAACCACAATGTAACTCGTATGATGCACTATTTTCCTTCCCAAGTTTTTGTCCCGTTGGGTTTTCCCTGGGAAGGTTTTTAATGAGGCAGACCACGATTTTAAACAACAATGTCATTTTGGCACTAATCTTGATCCCTCATGATTTCATCAATTACAATTAAGAGGTAATTTAACCTCCGCCAACAGTTGGCTGGAACGGTTCTCACCCCCAGCCAACTTTCAAGTAAGGGATGGTTTTCACCCCCGCTAAACGTTGGCCTGGGACGGTTCTCACCCCCAGCCAACTTTCAAGCAAGGGATGGTTTTCACCCCCGCCAAACGTTGGAAAATTTAGGTGTCGGTTCTCACCCCCAATTAACATACAAGCAAGTGCGAATAAAGAAAAATGGAAAATTTGTGAGAAATGAGCTTCATTGAAACGCCATTACGCAAGTCATTACATGTTTAGTGCACCAAAAAGAAGCAAATACAAGGTTACATATTCAAACTTGACGATCACCGGTGGGGACCGCCTCGTCTTCTTCAACAGTCTTGTCCGGTTCAACTGAGCCAGCTACCTCAGCACCCCCATCACGTCTCCCACGCTTAGGCCAGATGGCGTAACGCCAGAAAGATTCGTCGACAAGGTATGCCCAGTTCCACCGCCGTCGGCTTCGCCTCCGACAACAAGACCTTCCGGGGATTCCTCTTGTGAGTCCTCCCCCTCATCCGTCTCGGGACCCTCCTCGATCACGACCATCTCCCCATTCGACATCTGGTGAAGTATCTAGTTCCCCCTCACCTCGTATTCGGGGCTAAAACCTGTAATGTCAAAATTTGGGTGTCGAACGCAGATTTGCTGGAGTGCGTTGTTAAAAGACGAATACAGAAGACTCGCCAAGGCACTGTTGGACGTTTAGCAAGTGCACTAATCGTACAAGTAATAAAATGATGAGTAAAGATCGTTCCCATGAGGAATTGTGTTCAAACACCAATATACCATAGAAAACTAATTTGAATCAAATAAGAGTTTGTAAAAATCATGAATAATTTGTCACCAGATAATTGATTGTAAGTAATTTGACACAAAGTAAATATGGATTAGGAATTAATAAAAACAACAAGTAGTCGGAAAACAACTTTCCTCCATGATAACCCATATAAAAATTGATCATATGATGAATTCCTTTCCATGTGATGTTAATCAACCTTTTACTTATCATCAAGGTGTAATCCCTTACTACCATGATAGATACATTAATCAGAAACCCCAATCCCTTGGTGATCTCTTTCTTAATACATGCATG